TTTTTGTTGGGCTAGTTTTTTAGGCATTCGTGTATGAATTTGTAGAAGAAGAAAGAATAAGAAGGAAAATGGAAGAAGAAGAAGAAGAAGAGAAGAGAAGAAGAAGAAGAAAAATGAAGAAGAGAAAAATCGTGGAAAGGATAAGGAAGAAAAAGAAGAAAAAATCGTGAGAGAAGAAGAAGAAGAAGAAGAAAGTGAGAAGATTGAGGAGGAAGAAAGAAAAAACAAAAAATAGAATGGGAGAGGAATAGAGCAGTTACAAAAGATATGATTGTACAGTTTTGTTATGGAGTCATCGGATGGCTCGACTTATGGAACCATCCACAGTTATTCATAAATAGTGTATTGACACGTTACAATAAATACACTTAAGACATGTGACAATATATTAAGTGATTGATGGCTCCATAAAAAAACCATCCGATGGCTCCATAGAATTTTTGTACGATTGTAATCAATTTTTTATTTTATTAATCCCGTTTAGTATGAATTAAAGTAGTTTTGGAATTGTGGAGAGTGATCACTTTTATGGGATGTACTTTTAATAGAGGGTTAGTTGAGTATTTTTCCCATTAATAAGCTGTGCGAGAAAAATTAAAAGAAAACGGAATGCAGCAGGAAAAACAGTGTGCAGACTTCTGTACTGCAAAACAAATTCTCGAATTTCGACTGAATTTTCGAACATTACAAGCACTCGAAAAATTTGAACATATGGGAAAAACGGGCTTGCTTGGAAAACAAAACGACACCTAACGACTCGAAAGCTTTACGAACGACAAACAACAAGACGACGGCTCGGGAAACTATAACGAGATTCCAAAACAACAAAACGGGCCTCCAAATTCGCGAGTAATGACAGCAGTGTAACAGATCGATTTATACAACGAGAGTTCCAATCCACGTAGATTCACGAGACATCAAACGAGCAAATAAACGAATACGATCCGATAAATAAAATCATCAACTAACGATAATCGGTTCAACGAGCACGATAAATCTAACGACATGATATACGATTATGATAGATATCAGAAGAAGGTTCGCCGATTTCTTCAGGAATCTACGAGTTCGGTTGGCGACGACGAACGGGACTAACGGGAACTTCGAAAGCTCCAAACTTCGTCGAACAATGGCGGGCTGGGATCTGCTGCACTTGGGGGTCGATGACT